TGCTTTGCTAAGCTTGTTCTAAGTAGGTGCTTTAGACCACTGAGCCATCTCTCCAGCCCAATTGTTTTAATCAGTTGTTTATCATTTTATGCTAAGACTGTGGTGGCCTAAGGCCATAAACAATACTATACAACAGTGCTAAAGAAGCAGGTGCAGGGCCAAATAGGCAGCACCTTCTCATTCCCAAGAGCTAGGATCAAGGGGTCGGGGAGATGGCTCAGTAGAATAAGCGCCTGTGTGGCAAAAACAAGGGCCTGAGTTCAATGTTCTGGAAAAAAAAAAAAAGAAGAGCTAGGATGTTTCAACAGATTCAAAACCCCGAATCCAACTAAACCCAGAAGACACCCGAGGAGCAGTCATTCTCCAAGGGTTCTAAATACTAGGAATAGAGCTAGTTGCCATAAGCAATTTACTAGCATCTACCAGGAAAGAAACTAAAACTGAAAATGAGAAGACACTTAAGTAGGACATAACAGTAACCTTCCAGCTCACCAAAGGAAGGAGCTCAAAGGACAACCTCGACTTTCTGAGGTAGAAATAACAGAAGCATCAAAGCCAGTGAATGATGCTTTAGAAACTGGTTAAATGATGAACAAATCTCTCAGATATCTGCAAGGTAATAACCACAGCGAACAACATGCTTCATGACTTTAAAGCAGATAGAGATTAAAATGTTGCAAGAGCTTAGGAAAATGGAGGAAAACATGAACACCTTATATATTGAAGAAGCAGAATCCGTGAAACAGGTTCAAAGAGATATCCAGAAAATTATAAATCTCATGGAAATATGCAATGTATTAATTACTGTAACTGTACTATTGACCTGTTTTGAAATTAAGTGCTATTTCTTCCTCAATAAAATTAATTAAAAAATAAGTGTTTGGGCAAGATGTCATGTCTGCTTCTTGTACTCTGGGTGGCTACTGCGAAGACAGCAGTATGCAAAGTATTAATTCCTGTAGTTGTCCTACTAACCTGTTTTGAAACTATCTCATTGTAATTTCTTTCTCAATAAAATTAATGGAAAAAAAACAATTTTATAGAAAGAATACCCTGAAAAATGTATCAGTATGAAGACAGACTATTGGATCTCAAATGAAGGAGAGATTGGACTGAAGTATTTCATATCCTAAATGCAAAGCAATCTCCAACTCAAACTGATATAACCTGCATATCAGAGAAGAATTGAGGGGGTGGGGAGATAGCTCGGTAGAATAAGTTCTTACCTGGCAAGTGCAGGGTCCTGAGTTCAATCCCAAGGACAGGAAAAAGAAAAAAAAAAGATTTGGGGAAATTTATGAATGAAAAAGCAAAGGCAAGCCAAATAGCTCAGCTGATTAAAGCTCCTGCAAGCAGACACAGGGGAAAGGGGCTTGATCCTCTGGCCTGCTTCGCCGGCCCTGCCCCTGGGGTGTGCTGAGACAGCAATTAAGACTGGGCATGGTGGTGCACACCTGTAATCCAAGCTCTTGGGAGGCTGTAAACAGGCAGATCACTATGAGTCCGATCTAGTAGTGAGACCCTGAACACCCTGTAGACCGTTCCCTAAAATAAAAAAAAAAGAAAAACCAGCACTTCCAAAGTGTTCTGAACAATGTAGAAAGAGATAAGAAAAAGTGCAACTCCATGAACTCATAAAGGAAGCATGCACTAGGCAAGGAAAGTAATTAAGAACAACATAAAAGCATGACAAAGACAAAGCAATACATGTAAGTTACAATCATCCATGTACATTGTTTCAGAGCACTGCTATATAGCTCGGTGTCATCAACTGGTAGAATGGGAAAAGGCAGCATCAACCATATGATTCAGACCAGAAATGGATTTCAATCAAGCAGAAACTCATAGCTTGAAATTCTAAGAGTGGAAAAGAAAATACTGTATGGGACAAGAAGATACAAAGAAACAGATATCTATTTCATTCTCAGGAAAATTTGATTTCAAATCAAGGGTAATCAAGAGACATAAGGAAGATCCTGATATTTGTGTAAAGAAATTAATTCAAGAAGACATAATGATCTGAAGTGTATATGCACCAAATATTCATGAACTTATCTATACAAAACATACTAATGGGCATGAAAAATCAAATGAGAACTAATGCAATTTTAATTGGAGACATCATTATAACACAGTCACTAATAGATGAAGTAGACCAAAAAAATACCGGAAATATCAGAACTGAGGGGCAGAGAGATAGCTCAGTGGTATAAGGATCTGCTTAGGAAGTTCAAGTCCTGAGTTAGATTCCTGGAGAGAGAGAGAGAGAGAGAGAGAGAGAGAGAGAGAGAGAGAGAGAGAGAGAGAGGAGAGAGAGAGAGAGAGAGAGAAAGATATGTAGTGGAACATGCCTGTAGTCCCAGCACTCAGGAGGGTGAGCCAGGAGGATTGTTGAAAATTCAAAATGAGGATAGACTAAAAAGTAAATGTCTATACAATGTTCCACCCATAATAGCAGAATATGTATTCTTTGTTGCACATGGGACACATTTCAACATAGATCACATACTTGCTCAAAGAACATGCCTAATGAATTAAAATTATCCTATGCATATTATCAGACTATTGTGTTGTGAAATTGGAACACAATGGCAAAAGACAGAAAGACTTCACATATATATAAAACATAACACACTCCAACAACTAATGGGTCACAGATTAAGTTAGAGAAAGTAGACCGTTTCTACAATTAAATGCCCATGCCAATTCAGCATACCAGAAATTATAGGAAACAACAAAAGCAGTACTCCCAGGGGAATATATAGTGGTGAACTCTCATAGCAGAGAAACAGCAAGCTCAAATAAACATAAGGTTGAACAGTAAGTTCAAGCCAAAAGCCTGTATGAGAGAGGAAATTATAAGGATCAAAGCAAAAATTGATGCAATGGAGACTACAAAAACATACAAAGAATCTATGAATTGAAGATTTGTATCTTTGAAAGGTTTTTTTTTTTTTTTTTTT